GTCACAAATTCATTTTATCCTGTTACAGCAACTATAAAATCAGAAAGATTCCAAGTATATTTAGATTTCTGTTTTCCTAAGCTAGATGGGATTGTTGTTTTTTGTTTCTGTTTGTTTGGGATGTGGAGTGTGTATGTGTGCATGTTTGATTATTTGGTTGGGCTTGGGTTTTTAATCTGTGAGCCATACGGGGCAAAGAAATATTCCACAATATGTGTTTGTACAGTGCTCCCTGCAATGGGTTTCTTTAGTTGCCAAAGAAACAAAATATTAATAAGAAAATCATAATTCCAGGCTTCTGAATTTATTACAACTACCAGAAACTGATCCTATTCAACACCAACAAACAAAAATTTATATTTCTCTTTTACTCATTTTCTACGAAAAGGATCTAAACTTTCAAATATCTCAAATTTCAAATATGTTTTCTTGACTATGTTATTGATATCAGTATACAATGCTGCAGAATAACTCTTCCTACTTCTCCTGACTGTTGACAGACTCAGTCAGAGTGAAAGTTACATTTTCAGAATGCCCTTGTTCAGAGCTTCACATTCTGGTGAAAGGCTTCTGATCCTGTTCTGATTAAAGTCGAATGACAAAACTCTCTCTGAATCCAATGATCCAGGACCAAGTCATAACTATTCTCCCAAAACGTCAGGCAGTATTTCTCCCTTCCCCCCAGTGTTCTTGCACTTGGGAAGTTAGAGTCTCTACTGGTAAATATCAACCAGCACAGCAGCATGGACAGCTGTGAACCAATTCACACTATCTGAAGATTGGGCCTGAAAGCAGTGTCATCCCTCTTAAAAAATAAAAATTAAAAAATAAAATATTAAAAAAAAAAAAGAGAGAGAGAGAGAGAGAGAAAGAAGAAAAGCTAGCAATAAAAAGAATGGACCATTCACTCCTTAATTAAGTGACCACATTCCTAATCAGATTTTTCCCAATGCCCCCCTGAAATAGGGGAGAAAACTAGCAGCTGCAGTACCTGCTGTTGCGATTTTTCAAAGGTCTCTCAGAGTGTTAGGTGCTGACATGGAGCTGCAACAGGATTTCTGCCAATTCATTCAGTAGGCCAACAATTTTCAGCACTGTTTTTATGTTAGCTAGGTCTGCATTAAGCAATATTAAATTACCACAGAGCCTATATCCGTTTCCCTGAATAACTAGCGAAGCACAATTATCATAAATTTGTGATTAAAACCACAAACCATTGTATTATTTACACCAATAGATATTAAGGGTTCCTTATGAAATGACGCAGTTGAGAAGTCTTTTCCCCAGCAACACAGAGCTTTAAAGACACCTGTGTTGAGCACTGCACAAGCAGACTAACACACCAAAAAATCACATTTTCCAACCAGTATATGAAAGACATGTTTCACTCATTAATCTGCTTCATATGATTTCCATTTCCCCTCTTTGTATTCAAGAACAAGATCATGCAGCAAAGCTTCTCCTCCTTGTGCAACTTTCTCACTGGCACTTGAATCCCCTCCTGCCTTCCACTCATATCAGCTCTTGTGGCACTCTTCATCTTCTAAGCTCACACAGCACCTCAGGCACTTCTTTCTTGAGCCTGAACACATCCCACAAATGAAACTCTTGGCTGATCCTCTTGCCCACCAGACCTATTCAGCTTTCAGCTCTCACTGAATCCAAGAAAATCATAGAATGGTTGGAACTGGATAATCTTGAAGGTCCCTTCCAGCTCAAACCCTTCTATGGTTCTACGATGTCATGGGCAGGAACACCCTCCACTAAACCAGGTTACTCAAAGCCCCATCCCATCTGGTTTTGAACACTTCCAGGGATGGAGCATCCACAACTTCTCTGAACAATCTCTTCCAGTGGCTCACTATCCCCACAGTGAAAAATTTCTTCCTAATATCTGTTCTAAACCTACTTTCTTTCAGTTTAAAGCCATTTCCCCTTGTCATATCACTACACACCACTGTAAAAAGTCCCTCTCCAGCCTTCTTCATGGCCTCTCTCTGGACTCACTACAACAGGTCCATTTCCATCTTATGTTGGGGGCCCCAGAATTGGAAGTAGTACCCCAGCCAGTACCCCAGCCAGTACCCCAGGGTTTCACAAGGGTGGAGTAGAGAGGCAGACTTGTCTTCCTTGACCTGCTGTCCACACTGCTTTTGATGCAGCCTAGGATCTGGTTGGCTTTCTGGGATGCAAGTCCCCATTGTTGGGTCACGTCAAGCTTTTCCTCCAACAACCCCAAGTACTTCTCCTCAGGGCCTTGTTGAGCTTCATGAGGTTTGCACAGGCTCAATTCTCAAGCCTGATCAGGTCCCTCAGGATGATATCCCTTCCCTTCAGAGTGTCAACTGCACCACTGGGCTTGGTGCTATTTGCAAACTTGCTGAGGGTGCACTTGATCCCACTGTCCATGTTGTTGACAAAGTTATTAAACAGCACTGGTCCCAGTAATGACCTCTGAGGAGCAACACTATCCCTGGTCTTCACTTCAACATTGAGCCATTGACTGCAACTCACTGAGTGTAAACATCCAGCTAATTCCTTATTCACTGAGTGGCTATACATCAAATCCATGTCTCTCCAGCTTAGGATGTCGTATGGGACAGTGTCAAATGGTTTTCATCCCTGTGATACTGGCTGCTGTGACATAGCCCTTCAGGCATCTGCACATCTCTAATTCCTCTTATTTATTCCCCATGATATGTGCATGTGCATAGAGCTAGGCCTCCAATGAAGCAGGAGTGGCTGGAATTCCTTTGTGCTGCTCTTCAGGTGCTTTCCTGCTGACCTGCAATTCCTCTCCAGACTCAGGGTATCTCTTCCTGGCTCTGGCAACAAACTGCCAGGAGTGGGATAGATTGAGGATCCCCTCCCATAGCAACTGAAGTTTAAAAGCTGAACAAGGCTTCTCCTGCTGCTTCAGTCTCCAAAGGCAGAACACTGTGCACTGATAAGCAGTGTTATTTAGAAGTACCTGTATATAGACATTTACAGCCTGATGTAATGAACCTGTTGGGTTATACACTGCTAGTTCTGCAAGGGGCTGAGGGGTCCAGTCAATGGAGCTCCAACAAGCTAGTTCAGCATTAACTTGTGAAAGTTATGGAATAACAGCCAGAAAACTCCTATATGCACATGAAAACAAAACCAGCCACCTTCAAGCTGAAGAAATAGGCATAAATAAGCAGTGTCCTACAGTTCATTATGCTTGAGACCTTTGCTTTTAAAAGACTTTGTAAATACCGTGTGTGTCTGTTGTGCGTGTCCGCTCCCTATCCACCTCTCCTCAGTTCCCAGAACAATAGCCATGCAACTGACACTGGATCTGCTGCAGAGCTGGCCTCCTCTCCTGTTGCACAGGGACCCTGTTCCCACACACTTGGTAGGACACATGGCAGCACTCAGTGCTGAGGGCAGCTAGTGGGGCACAGATTTGGTCCAGCAACTTTGTGCAGCCATAGAGGGCCTTCTGGCTGTTTGCCCTCTATTAGCATTTTGTGAAGTGCAAGAGCTAAGCAGCACCCACAGCAACCTCATTCCCTCCTGTAGCTCTAAAATGTTAACAGCAGACTTAGGGAAGTAACTGATCCTTTGCAAACTTCATTCTTTTGAATTCAGCATTGCAGGCTCATCTCCATAGTTCACTGTGGGGTTAAGGCAGCACTTAAAAGCAAGTCACACATTTTCAGTGTGAAGTGTAAAAGAGCAACAACTACTTTTGACATGGTGAAAAGTGGCTTGGAACACTCACACTAATACAAGGGGACAGAAACAAAGGGTGGAAAGGCATCACAGAGCATCCTTCTGTCTAGACTCACACACAAGGATGAGATCAAGATAGTAAGTTTTTATCACATGTTTATTGCTGCATGAACTTCTAATCCTACAATGTCAAAAACCCTTCTAATAAATAACTTCTATCAATGTAGTATTTCCTATATCTACCTAGCACTATTCAAGGTGTGGTGTCCTAATTCTTTTATTTCACCTAAAGAGGCAAAAAAAACCCAAAACAAAACCAAAAAAGCTAACAATCATGTAGCATCTGTGCATCATGTTAAGATATCATGATGTTTCTTCTCTTCAGCTATTTCTAGTGTGGAGGAGTGAGAGGCACATTTGCTTGGACCAGTCCCTCAAGTACAATATTGCTCAAGTACAATATAGCTCATTTCTCTCATGACTAGAAGGGGCTGGTGCCATCAGCATTACATTATTAACAGAAGTATTGTTTTGGCATTAAAGGGAAAAGGAATTTTATGAGAATGTCATATTTCACAAGAGAAAGAACGACCAAGCTTTTAAAGCCCATCAAAAACTACTTGTCTGATCTCTGTGTTTTTTAGCTGGCAGTAAGTATTTGCAGTCAAGTTCAGAGAGATCATTTTTATACCTCAGTTTAAAAGATATATTAAAAACAGGACAAAATATCAGAGGAATTGAAGGCAGAGAAGCACCTTGCAACTATTTACTTTGGAGGCAGTGAATCTGCTGACACAGCATTTCAAAATAAAAAGTCTTTTGCTTCTGAAAATCATTCCTGGATTCCAAATGTTTCCATTTAAAGGCAAAAGATACTTCTACAGAAAAATAACTAAACACTTATCAGTACAAAACAAGCCCCTCTCTACAAAGTTTTAGTTTTCATTACAGTGTTTGTTAGGAGACTTGCCTCCAAAGTGATCATTGGAGACTTAAAACTCCATACACCAGTTTGCAAATTTTGCCTAAAGATAAAGTAGACCATATATGTAATTTGCATATCCTCAGTAAAGAAGGATTTTTATTTTGCTAAGCTAGAAATAGAATCTGACAACACGGGAAATTCAGACTTCTACTACATCAATCATGGACTTTTAAAGTTTTGGAAGGATCACGATTCTGCCGCATTTCAGGACTTTCTGAAAGGTGCCAAGTGCCCATGTTCTCACTTGCTCAGAGAAAGACTTGGAAGCTGAGGTGCACTCAGTTCCATACAAGAAATTAATCATGTTTTTAGGTCTTTGAAAGGAACAGCTTCTCCATTCTCTGCAAGTGTTTTCAGGATCAAGCCATCTCTTGAGCACCTGGCAAAGGTGAGTTCCCCATTCCTTCTTCAGTACAAATCCAGAGAACAAGTTCCTGCACTTCATCATTGAACTTCTCCTATTTTTGGAGGAATGCCTATTAACAGTAGGTGAAAGAAATTATGACAAAATCGCTGCCCATCACATCAATGTTGTCTCGCTATTTGCTTAGATTCAGACAGCTTTGTCATCAACTCTAATATTGAAATGGTGACTCCCCTCATGGCAGAAGAGGTGTTTTGATCCCATATTTGTACAGCACTTCACACAACAGCCACCATCTGCAGCTGGAACTTCTAACCACATCATACACAGTCTTGATCTAAATTTTTTCCACATTTATCACATAGATCTGTTGCCATCTTCTTGCAACAAAGGAAAAGATTCATCTCTACAGGAATTTAGTTTTACCACAAACATTTTGACAGTTTGTAAAATAAAAGAGAGGTGGTCAGAAGAGGTGATGGTATTTTGAGAAGAGATAGGAATAAAGAGCATTTGTTCTACAAGACATTTCTAGTCAGCACTGTGCCTGGCTGGGATGGACTTAACCTTCCCCTCAGCAACCTGCATGGGGGTTTTGATTTGTGGCCAACCAATGCTGATAATATACCAGTGCTTTAGTCATTACTCAAATGTGATTGCACAGCAGTAAGATCTTCCTGTTTCCCACTCTGCCTTCCTCAGCAATTAAGTTGAGGTGGACAAAAGGTTTTAATGGGATGCAGCCAGGACATCTGATCCAGTTTGTCCAATATCCAGGGATATTTCATACCACATAGGGTAATGCTCAGCTGTGTTCCCAAGCTGCCATTGCTTGGAGACCATCTAGGTATTGATCTGCCGGTGGAGAGCGACTGCTTGTTCTCACCACCAGCAGATTGCTTCTTTATTTGTATTTATAAACACACTTCTTAAACTGGTTTTGTCTTTATCCATGAGGGTTTTCCTTCTGCTTATCCAGTACTTTACTCCCTGACACTGCAGGGGAGCTGTGGGAACAAGACACTGCTTGGGGACTTAAACTATCAGCTGGTGCCAACCCACAGAAGTCCTTTTCAGGCACACCACATAGGGCTCAAGTTAACTCTACACTTTATCAGAATGTGCTAGACTGAATTCACAGGTGTTACAACTGTTCAGCTGTTGCTTGGCAAGTTACCATTTGCTGTTGCTGGTCACAGCGTTGACATTCTTGTTCCCATTACAAGTTTTCTCGTTCCCTTACCTGCTCCCTTTATTCCTGCACACCAAGCTTGAGGACTCAGTTTCAGCACTCAGGGTCTGCTTTTGGTTTTTCCAGTGTAACCAGTGCTACATGGAATAAGTGGTTAGCTCTGGACATATGATGGGTTTGACTGGGGAAACCCAACCAGACAGAATTCCAAGAAGAGGTCATGGACTGAGCAGAAGGCAGATATTTTGGATACTGCCCAAGGAGGTGACTCATACCAAAAAAGTGCCGCTGTAAAATAAATTGTCAGAAAATGGGAATCAACGTGCTCTCTTTACTGATGTGTCCCATCATGTTTCGGAAAACCAGTCAGCTTCTGAACTAGATCACTTCTGGATCAAAAGTGGAAAACTGGTCTATGAATGCCAATGTAATAAGTCTCAAAAACTGTGGAAGAAAAAGGCAGATCAAGCTATTCTGTAGTTGGCTCCAGATACTGCTGAATGAGAAAAGTAGCCAAGTCTCTCTCTGCAGAGACTCCTGGCTGGTGGCAAATGATGAGGGTACTACGGCAGCAGAGGTAAATCTCTTTGGGCTGCTGCACTCTGGCAAGACATTGCTGACAAGGCAGAGAACCTGCCTGTAAAGGTACATCATGGAGAGTCCCACATACACAAAGGCCATGCCAATGAAGAGTGTCAAAACCACAAGCAGGTAAACCAGGCTGCTAGACAAGGAGATGACATTTCTACTATCTGAAAAACAAATGGCAAGCAGTCAAACATATATGAAGTTGCTTTGAGAATGGACATGTATGAGTGTCTAGGATAAAGGACATCCTTAGAAAGGATATTCTCCAACCATGTCCAACATGACAACATGTCAGTTGTCTAGAGAAAGCATAACAAAGAGCATCAAAAATTTTGCAGTATGGAAGCAACAAGTTAGGAAAAAGACTTCTTACAGAGACTGCCTGAACTGTTCCCCTCAAACAGAATGAATAAAAAAGAAAAATTGCATCTTAGCCTTACGCAGAAATGCTTTGAGGACTATGTCTTTTGGGGATCCAAGGCTGTATCTGCAGTGAAATATTAAGAGGGAAGAACCAGTCCAGGTTCTCTCAGCCTTGTCTCTAACAGAATTTCCCAGTTTACCTAGAAGAGACCTTGAGGTAAGCACACTTGAGCTCTCCTCCTCAAGAACACTTCAGAAAACTCTATGCTGAGCAAACACTTGCACATGATCAATATGAATGTTAGATGAATGGGGACTTGAGAATTCAGACTCTCCCAGTACGGTCAATGTCAGGAGCACATAACTGACAGGCTGAGTTCTATGTTTAATACTGAAGCTCCCAGTTTAAGGACAAGCCTGAAAACCCAAGAAAATCACTTTGTACAATGAGATAGTGAAATTCAAATCAGGTATCATTTAATACCAATGTTTTATATTCATGCATATGCAGTGTTAATTAGTTATCTTTCTAGCACACTACTCACACAATGAATACTTTTTGTCATTTGTGGTTCTCCTTCGATTACGCAAGGCTGAGGGGTTTTTTAAACAATGCATGACTAACAATTTAAAAAAATAAATGGGCACATTCTCTTATGTTTCTTCACATGCCAGAATAAAGTCCTTGTCAGGGAAGCATAATTCCTTAAAGAAAGAGCTAGTGTAGTAAGTGCTCTATCAAAGTGCTCTATCAACTGTTCTTCAGAGTAAACAATGATGAATAAAGTTTTAGAGATCACCAAACCTCAAACTAAAAAACATGCATTAGAAGTAATTCCTGACAGTATTGAATGCTGCTGTGGACAAGACGCAGCTTCCTTCAGAAAGTCCTACAGGAACTGCATGGAGGAAATAACCTGAGTTCCTGAATTAGAAGGACCATATTTTCAGCTCTCCTTTAGGTGCCTGGACTTCATACACAAATTAGTTTGAAAATGGTCTGATTGGAAATGGCTCCAAAAGAAAAATTAAATAATGAAGTTACTCACAAAACCCTACAGCTTCCTTTCCCAAACTTATCTGCTAACTGCCTTTCAATGAGGTCATTTCTGTCTTCTGATTTTTGTGTTGCAATGCTCTACTATTTAATTTTTTTCTTTAATGCCCATTAGTGCTACAGAGGCAATCAACCTAAGACAGTGCAAATAGTCACAGATATTACAGAGTTCAATTTCAGTTAGTCACTTACAGCTATAGATAGTTCTGGATTTGGTATATTTGAATCAACTGCTAATCTACAGAACCATTACTGCTGATGGTAATAGAGGAAAAATAATCCACCAGTCTGAACCTCAGATGTCAGGATATAGTTACAAGTTTAATCAATATTTTAAATTGTATGTACACATCGATTTTGCTTGAGTAGTACATAGAGTCAATATAGAAATTATTGTGATAACACAGAAACCCTCAAAATGAGGCTTTTTGCAACTACTTCTCATACTGAAACAGCATATATAAATTATTCAGTGTAACACCAGAAGTTTAACCAAAAAATAAACAAAAAGCAACTCTTTCCCTCTCTTCCTCCCCCTGCTTATTCCTTGCTCTTTTGCTACAGTTCTCAAAATACAAGTTTCTGCCACCTCTGCAAATTCAGGTAAGTAGCACCAATACACAGGGAAACAGGCAAGGCATACTGCAGCTACTGTTAAACAAGTAACAAACATTGTTCAATTTCAGCTTCATTCAAAAAAAAAAAAAAAACAAAAACCAAAACAAACAAAAAAAAACCCCACGAAGTATTTCACCTGACCTTGCAAATGAAAATGAACAGAAATAAAAGGGATTTCTTTCCTTTGCAACAGTTTTTGAGTTTCTTCCAGCATGCAGACTTCAAATGCAAATGTATGTCATCAAAATATTACTTCTTTTTTTTTAACCACAGTTTATCTGCAATTATTTTTACATAGAAATACAACTCATGTTTCAAGCTCTTTAACATCTGAGATGGTATGTTTACTGTTACTGATACATACAAAAGGACACTCCTTCACTGAAGCTGTGCAAGGCAACTTGCCCCCTTGTAAGAGACATCGATGTGGACACTGGGGTTGAAGCACACACCCTATACTCTTCTATTGCTGTGATTTGTCTTTAGCAAAGATATCTGACTGTAAAGATATCCAAAACTGATCACATCTAGTTTAGTCACACCACAGATTTGAAATGTTCCCTTTTTTGTGTTATCAGTCTGATTTAGTTTACAAAAAAAGAAATCTGTGATTCTTAGTCTGAGATTTTGTTACTGTAAAGAAACATAGTGCACTATGAAGCTGTAACACATGCCACTCATCTACTGATTAGAGAAGCCCTATCTCTGTAACTTAGATCAACAACTGAGAGAAGGCAAAGTAAATACATGAAAATAGGAAGCCCAGTAGAAGAGTTAAACTGTCAAACTAGACCTTGGAGGACTGGGTTTAAGCCTCTACTTCGCCACAACTTCTGTGTGGTTAACCAATTGCTTAGCCTTACAAAAGAGTGAGTCAAGACATATATTTAAAACCTTAAATTGGTGTCCTGAATGGTCCTTTTTTTCCTCTTCTCTGGTCCCTTCCCACAGTGGCTCAATCAGAAGCAGGGAAATGAGGAATTCAGTTCTTACCCATAAAAATGCTTCAGTGTACTATATTAGCCATAACAGAGAGAAATTGCAACCCATACCAAATCCATTAGCTGGTGTCACAATCTTTCCACCCCCCTTTCCACAAGTATGAAGCACTTTCTAAAGGAGAAATAGATAGCTCCCCAAAGCCAAACAATTTTGATTTTTGTAGCTAAGTGAGTCTCCTGAGAAATGAGGCTTTGAATCCTCTTCAGCAAATACTAAATTTAAGAAATAGGAAGAGAATTCTTCTCCAGCACCAATTCCTCCCCCTTTTTTTTGTCCTCTTCCAGCAAAAATGTGAGAAGCAAAACCCACACTCAGGTGAGAAAGGACAGAGGACAAGCGGCAGAGGAGAAGCTCCAGACAGCAAGCATCCCAACTATGAGAGCCTGTCAAAAATTTCTCAGCACCACGCTTGCCCATGCACTTCTTGTTGCTACCTGTGAGCAGATCACTTCTGCACACACTTAGTGGGTTTTTGACCTCATTAGAAGGGCTTTAATTACCATGTGCTTTGTACAGGTTATATACATCTAAAATATCTGTGGTGCTGAAGACATTCAACATGCAAAAGCAAGGCAGTGTGTCACATTACTTCAAAGCTAAGTATTTAATACTGCTTACAAGTTACTTCAATACCTAAGTATTCTGCTGGTTCTAACGTGTCTGATTAGAGTTCTGATATCTACTGACCTTCCCCTGTATCCATAGCCAGTGCCACAATTCTTTGTGTGTTGCTGTAGTCGTGTCACAGCGATGCCATGCACAGAAACTTTAAAGACTACAAAGTATTTAGCCACTGCAGATACGCAGGGCACAAATTCTTCATAAGCAGTGAGAACAGAAAACAAGGGAAACTCTACACCTTCAAGATTTTATCTAGAACAAAGTTTATTTGTGTAGACAGTCTGACTGGTGTGCTTTGAGCAACACTTTAGAGAGGATTATTCAGGAAAGGACACACAGTCTAAACAAAAATCAGCACCAGAAACTAACTTGATTTGTATCATAGTCTGTATTTTTGCACGGCTGAATTATTTGGAGTTTCACTCTTCTCCTCTCTCTCATCAAGGAAACACAGACAACAACAATAACAATCTTTGGCCTGCATTCCTGGGCTGCATCTGAACTGTGCTTGAGGTTACTCAAAGGGTGGCTTCAAAAGCATCTGCATGAATCATGAGGGAACAGGTCACCTGGGCCACAGCTCTCCCCTTGTCATATACATTATGAAAGCCTTATGAAGCCAGAGGAGTCAGTTACACAAAAGCATACTCCACTGGAAATTTAAGCTGGATTTAAGATGCTCTGCACTGCTGAAGCAGTGCAAAGCTGCCTTTAGAGATTTGTGAATGCAGCTTTTTATTGTTACACCTTGGCTTTCAATAAATTCTCCCTGAGGGAACATATGCTTTCCTTCTACAGTTTCTATTGTTTGGATTATCTTTTGCTATCTATGACACGTTATTTATTAGCATCTTGTACGTGTTTTCTCTTATCGAATTAGCAAATGCATCCTACCAAACAAGGTGAGGAAAAAAAGTTACTCACAGCAAGTAGCACACAAGGAACACAAAGCCAAGCCTCTACTTCTCAGGAGAAGCTTTTGTGCTCTCTGGCTCATTAAAGATTGAATCCCCACAAGCACTTGGGTATGAAAGCCAGCTGGTACCACTTAGTCCCTACTTAAATCCAATGCCCAAGGGATGCAAAAACCTCATAAATGAGGAATTTCTAGCAGTACTTGGTTTTGGTACTTTTAATTTAGTTTAATGGCAACCTAGCAGGCATAGTCTGAAGATTTTTATTAGTACAAATTGTACAAAGCTTCCTTTTTCTTTATACACTTCCCCATGCCCCCCCCTCCAAAAATGAAAAATGTTCATAATCATTCATGTGCAGTATCATGGCATTAGCAATTCATTGGAAATGACGGTTCCCCACATGATCCTGGGGTTGGTCTATTTTAAGTCAGTAAATGTGTTCAGAAGGCAAGGTTGTTACAGGCTCTACAGCTCTCTAATATTGCTAAAATTTGTATTCTTTAATTCTGACTCTTACATCGGTTTTTCTTTTTGACTTATTAAAGTTTTCCTCTCTTTTATTTCAAACCAAATGCTAGCTTTAGTTTTATGACATTGAGGTGTTTTGATCAGATCCTCAACTGATTTAAACTGATGGAATTCCATAGCTCTATGGGCTTGTCTAGTTAACCACCACTGTCTGTGCCTTTCTGTGTTACAATTGCGACAAAAACAAAGTGGTGTGCTAGGTTCATCTTATCAGACAAATAAATTGTCAATGTCATGATTTATCCTGAATAGTAGATGTTTTCTAAAAGAGATTTTCTTGAAAATAAGGGGGTTAAAAATGACCTAATATACTGCAGCAAAATACCGAAGGCAATCAGTAAGACTGTTATTATTTCTTGAGTTGGATAGAAATCTGCTATTTTCTACCTTCCCTTCCAATATTCCAAAGAATAATGATGTGATTTAAGAACATAAAGCTTGCAGCTCAATTGTGGCAATTTATGTTCCTGTAAACTTGATGTAAGCCTGAGAAGCCCAATATTTTTACAGTGTATTGTAAAGGATGACATCTCAAAGGTCATAGCAATTTCCACCATTTTACTTCCAAATTTATTTCTCTTTAGTTTTTCACAGGGAACTGCTGAGATTTACCTCTGACCCAACCTACTTTCCTCAAAACTTGAACTGTATATAAAGAACGAAGGGATTGTTCAATGAATGGGTTCTTTTCTGGGTAACACGATTGAAAGACAAACCTCACATCGTAAGGAGGTGTAATGTATCCCTAAATGCGTTTCAATTCCAAAGTGAAAACGGTAAGCAACCTCTCGCTCTGACCTTTTCTCTCTTCGCTGTATGTAACGTTTTCAGATTCTGTCGAGGAGTGTGTCTAATTCATTTTTCCGGCTTAGTGAGACTCACCCCGAGTCATTTCCTATTTGCTCTCTTGCTGTGAGTGGAGTCACATTCCCAGTGAGAAGTCAGCTCACTTCCAGTGATTATCTCCGCGCCCGGCGATGGCCTGAGAGGACGCCTGCTCATGCTGAGAACACAGTTTAACACTATGTTAATAAACACACAGGGAATGTGTTATGCAAACAAAGGCCCCAAGGCGAATCCCTCTGCCCTCAGAGATGCAAAAGGAGCAATAGGTTTGGGGAGAACAAGGGAATAGTGCTGCATTTGAAAAGCAGCCTCGTGGTAAATGTGTCCAGATTTGCAGTGGGAAGAGTTAACACGAAGACACACTGTCTATCATTCTCTTTTGCCCTTCTTTTGAAGATCATTAGAGTTGGCATTAAGAGGAGTTATAAGGATTAAAGGCAGCTAGGTCTGCTCTCACTGCTTGATGAAACAGCTATCATCACAAAGCAGCATACCTTCAGCAGGCTATTAATTACATCCCACTAAAGTCCTTAAAAGGTAGTTGATTTTAACCTCAAAATTTCACCATTTACTTCTAAGAGACCTTAAATTTAAATAATATTAATAATAATAAATAATGAAATAATACATTGAATAATATCATAAATGAGCAAATTAGTGAAGCAAAAAGTATAAAGATAATAAATTATAAATAATAAAGTGTCTTAATAAGGATAGTATTTAAAGTGCATTAAGGGTAATAATAAAATAAAGCCTTCTTGTCGTTGTGCTTAAAAATCTTTTGTACTATCACATTTTTTTTCTAAACTCCACTATAAGGATCATCACCTTCTTAAACTGTCTATATCCCCACCCCAGAACCCAACACTAAATTTAGAAACTGCTCAGGTTCCTCAATCAACCTAAAATCTCACCACTTTCCCCTTTTCTTCATCTCTCCTCATCCCCATGTCAATTTTACACTCCAGTCACATAGAGCTATACATTAGAAAATCTCACATTTTAACATGTCACTACAATACAGAAAAATGTCAACCTTAAAGGCACTGGGAGGAAAAAATGAAAGTATGCAGGAGTGATAAGAAATATTCATTCACTCATTGAAGCCTGTTTCAAAATCACAAAGAAAAATGATAGGAAGCCTCAGTACTTACACATACTCTTCTCATTCTTCTGTTTTCATTAACATTTGTATAATTAATTAGAGTCCTCAGGGAAAAAATAACCAACACTTCTTTACACTTCTTTAGTTCTGAAAAGCAATCAAGATCTATAATAGCCTCTCAGTTCTGAAGTTCAATGTAAGCTTGTATGAGTGACGGAACTATAGCTGTTTTCTTTCTGCTTTTTTACAAAAAAAAAATTTAAAAAAAAAAAAAGAGTTGGGAAAAATAATAATGTAATATGTTTGGGACTAAGGACATTTAAAAACTAATAATTCTATGTCCCAGTAGCAAATAATATGTTTAGGAGCCTAGGATGAATTAAACAAATTGTATTTTTCAGTATAGTACTGTATCATTTACAACCTAGTCAAATTGTATCAAATACAACAACAATCCAGTAGCATTTTAACATAATTTATAGCTCCATGAGGTAAACAGAAGGAGGATTTTTTGTTGCCTTCTGTTTGCTACTTTAATCATATTCTGGGGACACAATTCTGCATGGAAGTGGCTGTAAATATGCTCATGCATTTCCAGCTCATGGAGGCGGTTACAATGTGCATATTAAGGACAAGTTTTACAACCAAATGTGTGATGCAGAATGCTTTGATACTGATGAAATTGCACATCTCTAAGGGTGAGATTAATCCCATCTAACTTTGGCTGCTCAGAAAACTAATCTAAGATGCTTAACTCTATAGTCAGCAGAGAGTTAAGTAACTCCAGAGGGGGATTCTTCCTATCTACTTTGGACATCAAAGTTTGTCTGCTAACGAGCTGTTGGACACACTTGTCTGACTTGCAGAGCATGCCTAAATGGGATGTTTAGATTAGACACCTAATTTCAAGACAAGTGAAGCTAGTGAACCTAACCCCATGCTGCAGCCTATCTGCACCACAACTAAAGTCAACTTCAAGGCTATTTTTTTATGGAAGCCTGAGCTGGGAACTGAACTGAGATGCTGTACAATGAGGATTTGGAGCCACTGCAGCAAAGGTTTTATCATGCACTCTTTGCCTGGGCACCTCTCTGAGGATCCTGGCCAGCTTGCATGTGGATTGCAGCGACAGTGCCTGTGCTGGGAGGATTCAGTCTCCCTCCTCAGCCTCTGCTCCCAGCTAATTCAGCACCATCCTTCTCACTGCTCCCCATACTGAGAGAACATGCTAAACTAGCCCAGACAAATTAAAAACAAAACAAAAAAAAACCAAACAAACAAACAAAAAAAAAAAAAACTCAAATTACGAAGAAAGGAAAGAGAAAGAGGGAGGAATACCTTTCAACTTTCTAAGGAAGATACTCGGGAATTGAGGTAGAAGACACAGCCCAGGGACGACACAGGACCCCAGGGGAAGGAGTAAAGGAAAGAAAAGAAGTAAGGGCTGAAAAAGGAGCTCCTTGGTAGTGCTGAGACATTCAGCTGGCTTAGATGCTAAGCAAACCTGAGTCCTCTGCTACCCTGCAAGGCCCATTACTGCTACCAAGACAAGCTGGTTCTGAAGGA